TCCAAGATCACGACAGCAGACATTATATTATAATTACATATTAGGCGTACTATCTACAGCTTTGGTTACCGACCCCAATTATTCAATACTGGTAACATAGATACCAGCTCCTGGACACGATACAAATAGATCTAACTAGCTTCCATTTTCACAACCTCTTCTCATAACATTCCTCTTAATACCATTCTGTCATCTCCTTTCTGGTCTTGTAAATGTTTTTGATTGATTTATTTGTAGTATATTTGACGACGCTGTAAGCAGCTCAGACTGTTATGACGTCGAATATTACGACGATTGACGAAATATGAATTGGAAAAGATATGATACGAAGCATTTTCCTGGAAATATCAAGGAAATCCACTAAATCTTCAACGAGGATCGCTCGTCTTCGGATCGAGATTTGAACCAGGGACCGACGGAATACAAAGTAGGCGTGATAATCACTCGATCATGATATTGTGTGGTTTCCTGCCGAAATTTTGTGGGTATTTGTCCTCTGCATCCGGGATATATACAGCCCAACATAGGTTCCTTTTTTGACTTTCTGACAATACCACTTCACATCCCTAAATCATGATTTCCTCGTTATTAGATGAGTCACTCATCGCCCTGATGATGGAAGCAGCAAGCACCTCTGAAACTCTTACCAGACCATACGACGCAACACCCTAGAAGACAGAATTTTTTTAAAAATGTGTTGCTTTGCTGTCGCTACTACTTAAAATATTACTTATAACGTTTTCGAAAACAAATGTTAGCTTGTGTCGTAAACAGTATAGTATTATGTCATTTATACTTACTTCACCCATTATATAATATAGCCAGCCTAGACTGTTACGCAGAACAATGACTATGAACTTCAGAACTTAATAAGTAGTAATTTAACTTAGTCACTAAATCATTCATATGAACACGGACGCCGCGGGCTTCGATGGATTGTATATTCTCAAATGCCATGGGCAGGCTGCAAACTGTGTCTTTGTTCCATTATTCATGATATCGATCTAGTCGAATCCTGCTGCTCTTACGTTAGAACATAAAATACACATTTAAATTCAGCGTTAAATTTCTCAAGGTAACGCTTTCTTTGTACTAATCTGTTTATCGTAATTTTCTACTCTGCAGTTATAAGTAAAGGAATGTAGACTGTCTGTTAACTATTTAAATGAATTTGGCTACTCTTAGAACAGACATGTTGATGGTATTCTGTGTCCCAGATAATTGTTCTGCTATCTTTTTTTGAGCCGCGGACCCCGTCCCCAAAATTAGTTCATACATTCGCATTCAATAGAATAGAGACTAATTATAATATATGTAAAAGGCATATTTCTTATCCATGTTTCTACTCCATTGTGTGAAAGTGCGTTAAAAAGCTTAAAACTTGCAGCAATACAGCATTAAGTAAATTAAGGAATAAAATCTACTCAACTCGCGGTCCCCTTAGGTACATCTTAAGGGCCCATGTTGATAATCACTGATCTAGATCATGTTGTCAACAGTAATATGAAAGAATACAGACACAATTTACGGAGTTTTATTACACAAATTA